ATCAGACGTGAATGGTTATATTTGAATGACATAACTCAGAACTATCACACGTGAATGGTTATATTTGGAATGACATAACTCAGAACTATCACACGTGAATGGTTATATTTGAATGACATAACTCAGAACTATCACACGTGAATGGTTATATTTGAATGACATAACTCAGAACTATCACACGTGAATGGTTATATTTGAATGACATAACTCAGAACTATCACACGTGAATGGTTATATTTGAATGACATAACTCAGAACTATCACACGTGAATGGTTATATGTTTTGAGGTTTTATAGTATTTTTGACGTGCAGAATGAAGGTTAAAACAAAAATCATGAACTTATATGTAGGCTTTTGAGAATTAAAAATCGCTGTGTTAACTTTCATGGTAAACTTAGAAGAACATTTTTTCTTAGTTATAATTAAATGTTTATATAAAATTTTATATCAGAGTTTGAAAACATGCGTGTAACAGACCGGGGGTCGCCGAATGGTTGGCGTGCCCGAAATGTGAATCCGAGTTTTCACGGTGCACTAAAAATGCGCTCTGCACTTTGGGGCCGTGGACCTGGTGTAACAGCTAAATCCCATGATCCATTTGTCAGTACGTAAAAGAACCTATTATAACTAGTTTTAAAGTAACCGTGTGTCATAATACATTAGTTCCAGTTTTGTTATTCAGAGTTCGCGAAACCTTCAAAACTAAAGCAGTAAACATTTATGTATTTCTTAAAAAACAAAGTCATTGATAATTTGAAAACTGGCAACGAACCTAAAAGTACAAGCTGGCTGGGGCACCAGTGGAACGTAAAATATATCCACCTACTTCTATGAGCTAAGACTTAATGAAATTGTCATCCACGGCATGGTACAACTCGGGCACAACGTACACCAGTGTACGTCCCGATAATTTAGGGACCATCCACTAAATCGTACCCTATATCTTATTCTACGTTTAAGTTATTTTCACTGCATTTGAAGCGCCTAGGTTTCAGAGTAAGTCCGGCCTCCCACAGCAGCACGTCGGTATGTCTGCGAATAGTCTCTTCTGTAGTTTGTGCTTACGAACAAACAGCGTTAATCTAGAAAGACTCGATTTAAGTAACCATCCGTGTTGAACTCTCGTAATATAC